GATTTTTATTGGGTGCCAAATCTGACTGCACTGGTTGCTTTTGCTTTTAACTTCGTAACTAAGGCAGTTTGTCTTTGTGCTGTATTTAAACGTCTTTCTGTGGCCTTGCAAAGGATTACATAAACCTCAAGAATGTAAGACTCTCTCAGCTGTCAGAGGTCAGAATTAATTTGCAATATGAAAAGCCCTGCTGGGAGTTAAAAGGTTTTCACAGAATCTGTGTCATGCAGAGAACGGTTTGTTTTTGGATGCTAACTGACATTAATTCGGCACAAAGGACCTGCAGAGCAGGAACAGTCAGGTGTCAAACCAAACATCCTCCTCCACACACCTCACACCTCCCACTCTGTCCAACCCTGCCGTACCTGAGCAGCTGCTTTCCTTATTAACATTTTCTAGAGAGGAAGGAAGTGAAAATAAATCTTATTTTTTCAACACTGGCACAAGGTGGGAGGCTGCGAGGCACAAACTTTAGATCTCCAACTGTGATGCACCAGAAGTCAGTCTGGTAGAAACCAAGTGTGCGACAGCAGAGGAGCGGGCCGACTCAGAAAAACACAATCTGTCTGTCTCGGCACTCTCACATTCTGCCTTTGTTTCCACTTTAGTGCTCGCGACAGGCCATTCTCTCCCTCGCCGCAGCCACACATGAATAGAAGGAAAACACAGTTAGGTCAATAAAGCTGTAAAGGGCTTCAAAAACAAATTGGATTTTGAGACTGAGTCAGTTGTGGAGATTATCTGAAAATCTTTCTTTTGCTCAGCAGCTGATCCAACAATGTGATTCGTCTCCTTGAAAAGCATCCAGCTCGGTTAGCTTCACATGTGGAACAACAATGTGAGGAGCACACAGAGGAGTTAGTGAGTAAGTAAGCTGGTAAACATGTCACCATGACAGGCAACCTGCATTTATGTTAACATCATATACACGCGTATACGCTCATTGACCATTATTATTTGGTACACGTGCTACATAACAAATACTGTGGTCATAAAGTTATGGATATGATCAGCAACAGCACTATGCTCAGCTGGTACTAAGAGGCCGAATGTATGCCAAGAAAATCCCCCACAACTCTACACCACCACCAGAAGTCTGAACCATTAATAAAACTCCCATTCAAAGGTTGCAGTAGAAATCAAGACACATCAGCTCAGGCAACATTTGGGTCCTACGGTCTGAACTTTAGCCTCAGTTTCCTGTTCTTAGCTGACAGGAGCGGCATGCGGCTCGTCTGCTGCTCGTCCATCTGCTTCAACGTTCCACGTGCTGTGCATTCAGAGATGCTCTTCTTCATACCTTGGTTGTAACAAGAGCTTGCTTTTTCTTCTTTTTTTAGTTACTGTTGCCTTCCTGGCAGCTTAAAGCAGTCTGTCAGCAAGGCCTTTTCACCCAGAGAGCTGCTGCTCACTGGATATTTTCTCTTTTTCGCACTGTTGTCTTTAAACCTTCGCGTGGCTGCGCGGGAAAATCCGAGTAGATCTATCTGGCTCCAACAGCCATCCCACTTTCAAAGTCAACTAAATCACCTTTCATCCCCATTCTCATGCTTAGTTTGATCTTCAGCAGGTCATCTTAACCATGACTACATGTCTAAATGCACTGAGTTGCTGCCAATGTATTATCTAAATAGATATTTGTGTTAATGAGCACATCAACAAGTGTACCTAATGAAGTG